ATCAAGATGTCAGCCAGGCTGCAGCCTTTTGAAGTCTTGCCTGGTGCTAGAAGGTCTGCTTCCAAGTTCATTTGTAGGGCCTCAGTTCCTTACCATGTGGCCTCTCCAAGGCCTGCTTAAGTCTCTTCAGAACATGGCAGGTGGCTCTCCCCAGAGCAAGTGATCCCAGAGAACAGATGAGAAGGGAGCTACTATGTCTTTTGTGACCTCGCCTTAGAAGTCACATAGTGCCACTTCTCTACTCTGTTTGTTAAAAATAGGTCTTTTAGTCCAATCCACACTACACGGCAGGGAATTTACGCTCTACCTTTGGAGGGGATTTTTGGATATATTTTAAGATGACCCCAGGGCGCCTGGGTGGCTCAGTCGGTTGACAGTCTAGCTCTTGATTTCGGCTCAAGTTGTGATCCCGGGGTCGTGGGATGGAGCCCTGCGTCAGGCTCTGTCCTGAACGTGGAGCCTACTTAGGATTCTCTTTCTCTACCTCTGCCCCTCTCCTTCACTCATTCTTTTTCTCTCTCTCTGTCTCTCTCTTAAAAGAAACAACAACAACAAAAAAGACTACCCCAAGTGGGTATTTGGGTAAATGTCTACCTCCCTTACTAGACTAAGGGTACCTTAAGAATGGCACCCATTTTTTTATTGTTCACTGTTGTGTCCCTGGCACCTTCCAGGATGCCTAGCAAAGTACAAGCATTCAGGAAATAGTTTTAAAAATGAATGAATTTGGGGCGCCTGGGTGGCTTGGTCAGTTGAGCGTCCGACTTTGACTCAGGTCATGATCTCACCATTCGTGGGTTCAAGCCCTGCATCGTGCTCTGTGCTGACAGCTCAGAGCCTGGAGCCTGCTTCAGATTCGGTGTCTCCCTCTCTCTCTGCCCCTCCCTGATCGCGCTTACACTCTCTCTCAAAAATAAATAAACTTAAAAAAATTAATAAGTGAATGAAACTTAGTATTTCAATCCCAGTGCTAGGGAACTTTTACAAATTACTTAGTTACTAATTCGGGAGAATGGGGATAATTATAGCTACCTCTCAGGTCGTTATAAGAATTTAACAATACAGTCTACATAAAGCACTGGCATAGTCTGGCACAGAAAGGGCTCAGGAAATGTCACCTCTCATCTTCTTTGCTTCCGTTGCATATGGAACCCATCCCAAGCCACATGGATTCTACTTATCACGTCTCCCCATCCCTTCTAGTCTGTTACTCCATTTCAATTGCGGCCTCTCTCCTTGCACACTCCTTTCTATTACCCTTCTGACAGTTCCTCTGCCTCTGGTCTCTGTCTCCTGTGATCCATCCCACGCACTACAACCATATTGCTTATCTTCAAGTCCTGTCCTCATCATTCACTCCTGATTTCAAAACATTTCTGTCCAGGGACGCCTGGGTGGTTCAGTCGGTTAAGCATCCAACTTTGGCTCACGTCATGATCTCACGGTTCATGCGCTCGGGGCCCCCCATTGGGTTCTGTGCTGACAGCTCAGAGCCTGGAACTGACTTCAGATTCTGTGTCTCCCTCTCTCTCTGCCCCTCCCCCCACCCACATCCTGTCTCTCTCTCTCTCTCTCTCTCAAAAATAAACATTAGGGGCGCCTGGGTGGCTCAGTAGGTTAAGTGTCCAACTTCGGCTCAGGTCATGATCAAACGGTTTGTGAGTTCGAGCCCCGTGTTGGGCTCTGGGCTGACAGCCCAGAGCCCGCAGCCTGCTTCGGATTCTGTGTCTTCCTCTGTCTCTGACCCTCCCCCGTTCATGCTCTGTCTCTCTCTGTCTCAAAAATAAATAAACGTTAAAAAAATAATAAAGAAACATTAAAAAACAAAGTTTTTAAAACATTTCTGTCCAAACTCCCCCTGCAACCAGGGCCCAGTGGAACTTCCCAACCTAATTATTCACTATCCGCCTGCATATACTCGACAGTAAAGACTCGTCACCGCCCCCATATCTGGGCTTCCCAACCACTGTTCTTCTGCTCATGCCATCCTTTCCTTCTCTGAACTCCGACTGAAAACTTCATCTATCTTATTGCACTGACGTTTATTCATGTCTTCAGGAACTAGAACAAATATGCTACTTCTGTTACTAAATTGGAAGCATCTCGAAGGCTAGGATGGTGTAATTCATTCTTCATCCTCTGTTGTCGCTCCTCTGCCCTGCACTAGGAAAGTGTACCATAAACTTTTGTTGAATTGGATTTGAGTTCCAGACGGCTTTTATTTCCTTATTTATACTGACTTCGCGATACAGCCAAGTCCAGATGCCAGAATGAGATAGAGCACATGCTCTGCCCTTTCCAGTGATTAGACATTTGACCTCTACCCACAGATGACCACATTCTTGTCGTGTCTACATCAACTAAGTGGCCCACAAAGAGCAATTCCCCAATAGAGCAATTGCAGAATACAATATGGGTTGCATTTTCCTTTAATTCTGGCCGAAAAGCAAATATCTTCACCTTAATATTCATCGGACCTCTGTGCTCATTTTTAATGCTCTATATCATTTTCATTATTGCTAATAGCAAGAATACTGTAAATATATTTGAAGATAGGAAATTCTTAAATGGTTCTGTGTTATATAGATAATATGCAGAGGTAAGACTGGGGGGAATTTGTTACATGCATGGAAAGCTAAGACTGGCAATGCGAGAAATTTTGCTTTTAGATTTCTCTGGCACGACTTCAAAAGTAGATGATGTTTTCATGTTTTCAATGAATAAAAGTCTGCCTCAGACACACACACGTAGGGAAATTCTTGCTGTTGAGTCATGAATAGATACCTTTAGGAAACGTGTAGTAAAATTTCAGGCTGAGACAGGCACAGATATTACAAGTATTTACTCAGTGTCTCCTCAATATATTACCAATGGTGTTCCAATATTTTGACCGGTTAAATTATTTTCATTCTGGTCGAGCAAAGATATTTTGGAACTATATTTCCCTGCTCCCAATTATCTACAAGGGGCCGTGACTGCTTGAATTCTGTAAATCTATGTAAACCTCTTCAGATGGGCAGTGACCAAAAACTAATTCCTGTGTTTAGACATTGGCAATGTACTCTTCATTCTCCCAGTCCATTAACCCTGGATTTATATAAATTTAGTGGCCAATTCCTTCTTTATATTAGTATGTATAAGCCTTGGGGTTACTAAAGAAGAAGGTTCTACCAGGATAATAGGGACTTTCGTCTTTGGTCAAATGTTAAAGCAGCTTCAGGATGAATAGGTGCATATAACATTAAAATGTTGAGATCTAGGGGCGCCTGGGTGGCGCAGTCGGTTAAGCGTCCGACTTCAGCCAGGTCACGATCTTGCAGTCCGTGAGTTTGAGCCCCGCGTCAGGCTCTGGGCTGATGGCTCAGAGCCTGGAGCCTGTTTCCGACTCTCTGTCTCCCTCTCTCTCTGACCCTCCCCCATTCATGTTCTGTCTCTCCCTGTCCCAAAAATAAAAAAAATAAAACGTTGAAAAAAAAAATTAAAAAAAAAAAATGTTGAGATCTAGCAAAAAGCTTTGTTTTACAAATGAGGAAACGGACGTTCAGGGTGTATAGAGACCTCATGGACTCTGCACCACCTGGCAAGAAACTTGTGACCCTGCAACATGCTTCCCCTTGGCATCTGCCCACCTGCCCAGTGACTAGTCTAGCCTTGGGTGTATCAGACTGGTCACCATTGGCATGTTGGGCCAGGCAATTCCTTGTAGCTGAGGGTGTCATCCTGTGCATGGCAGGATGTCTAGCAGCATCCCTGGCCACTATTCTCTAGACGCCTCTAGCACCTGTTCATCCTAGTCATGACAATAACAACAACAAAATGGCTCTAGACCTTGCCATCTGTCCACCCAGGGGTGAGTCACCCCCCGTCCATAAAAACCGGTCTATCCTTGGCCATCCTGGTGTTTTAATCAACCATCCTCTTTTACGTGTTCTGGGAAAATACCTTAAGACACTAATGCATCATATTGAGTATTAGAATTCTGCATGACCTACGTGAGAATCTGCAGTCTTTGCAAGAGAAGGGGCTTCACTGCTGATTCTGCACATACAGATATGACTAGGAACACATTCCGACTCAGGGTAGCCAGTCCCAACTAACGGTAGCATAGGGGAAGTTAAGAAAGGGACAAAACACAGACTGACAGTTTGATTCATGTTTAATGAAAAAGAAGTTACATGAACAGAAATGGACATAAAACAAAGATCCGTTTGGGGAACTATGGTGATAGTTGGAACAAGAGACGAATCATTTTATTCTTGAAATTACTCATATATTCTTATTAGTTATCACTGATCCAAAACCTCTCCTTAAATCCAAAACAAAGTCATAGTCATAGTTTTACTCATGTTTTCATGGGAACTCACCAAAGCAACGTCCAAACAATACTTTTCCATTTCCCGCATGCCCCCAGAACACACACAAGCAAAGGCAGAGATGTTTACCGTCAGGTAACATGGCGTGAAAAAAAAATGCAGCCTTATCAGCTTTTTATTACAACAGCAAGTTAGCACTGGCAGTGTGCTTTTGGCACAAACATGCTTTCTGCTAATATTTTCATGAGAAATCTTTTATGATATGCAACCATTTATTCTCAGTACAATCAATCATTGAGGGATTAAACCTAACTCTGGTGAACAGAAAAATGTGTGCAGGAGTTTCTGACTTCAGGTTTGAGCATAGTTGAAATATTCGAGACATGAAATTTAAAAATACACAGGTATGAAACTACAGTGAGCATCGTACTAGTTTGTTTTCCTGGCTTAATTCTGTTCACAATTGTTAGCGGAGTCAGTTAATATCCTATTTTCATCTTTTTCTACCCTGATGTACACTCTGATCACATCTTCGTAAATAAGAAAAAAATGGATCTTTGGAAGTGAGTTATGATCTCAGAAAACATATACTGCCAATAGGCTTGCTTGAATTATCTTATTTAAAATATAATCTCCCTTCTCACAAACTTGATCTGGCAAGCATTAAATTCATTACAGATGTTTGCCACGTGGGTAATAGAAAGAAACAGTAGGTTTTACACACTATCCCTTTAAAATGAAAATCTTTTGGCCAGCACACAACAGTCACCAACCTTTTATGCTCACATTGAATAGTTTCAAGTTAGGATGAGCCCTGTCTCTTCTGATACTGTATTCTAAGTTTTTCCAGCTGCTCTACACATTGGGACTGAGCCAACTTCAATGTCCGGTTCTCCTCCATCAGTACCTCGAACTCCCGGGCCAGCTGAGCGGCGTCCACCTTCTCCTTTTCTGCCTGATCCAGCTTGGCAATGAGCTCCTTTCTGAAGACCCAGGGGGCAGGTGAGGGAAAAAGCACACAATTTAATGCAAACCAACTAAATTATGCAGCAACAGCAGAACGGAAGTAGAATTTTGATTCTACTTTTCTAAATTCACCACCTCTAGTTACTTCCAGCGACTTCCTTTTAGCTTTTCCAGCTTTGCAAGTTGTAGCCACTTTATTTTATTCTAGCACCTCTACCAGACACATCCGAAATACTCAACATAGACCCAAAAAGCTCAATTAGTCCTTTGACAGTCAAAACAAGGTGATTTGTTTAAAGAGTACAAAGAGGGTAAAAGTTACAATTAATTTAAGGGGAAAAAAACCCAGAAAGTCGGTTTATGAGTTAAAATGTTATCTATTTGGGGCGCCTGGGTGGCGCAGTCGGTTAAGCGTCCGACTTCAGCCAGGTCACGATCTCGCGGTCCGTGAGTTCAAGCCCCGTGTCAGGCTCTGGGCTGATGGCTCAGAGCCTGGAGCCTGTTTCCGATTCTGTGTCTCCCTCTCTCTCTGCCCCTCCCCCATTCATGCTCTGTCTCTCTTTGTCCCAAAAATAAATAAAAAACGTTGAAAAAAATATATATAAAATGTTATCTATTGTCTTACAGATAGAACTGTAGTTTGTCCTTTACCTTGTCTTTGTCCTCCAAAATCAGTTACTATCTAACTTTGTTTTCTACTTGAGAGCTTAACAAATCCTTAACAGTCTCCTTTAAACTAAAGAATCCAACTTCTGCCTGCAAATATTATTTTCCATGCCTTTCTGGACTGCTGATATAGATAGGTATAGATATCTGCAGCCCTATTTAACAAAACATTATATCTACATTTCCTTCTGGCCTGACTCTAGAATTCAGAGAGCAGGCTAAGGTTATTGGAGGGGTAAGGAGTGATAAAGTCTTAAACAAATTCAGTTCTCAGTAATTACCTATCAATAATTCATTGATATAAATACACATAATAAGGAGCTAAAGGTTCCCAGTCTATGTTTAGATTTACTAAACATGACAACCCAACACAGGTCCACCCCCCCTTATGTGGGTCAGTTAATCCTAAACTAGATCTAACAGATCTTTGCCTACAAGATGTGTGTCACATCTCTTTCTCTGTAGGCAAAAGTGCACAGAAACCTGGAAGACTCCTTTAACCAAGTGATCAACCTTGACATCACCAGTAAGGAGATAAATAGATAACACATGCACCGAGAAGGACACATCCTTTTTCTGGTATTCCTGCCAAAAATCCATACACTAGACAACCTCAAATTGAGGGAAATTCTACAAAATTGCTAGCATGTACTCTTCAAACTGCTAGCCTAAATGGTTCCACATTTAAAGAAACTAAAGAGATGACAACTAAGGGCAATGTGCAATTCTGGGCCGGAAAAAAAAAAAATTGCTGTGAAGGACATCATTCGGAAATTGATGCAATTCAAACGTGGATTATGAAATATCCCTGTATCAATGCTAAAATTCTTAATTTGTAATTATTGTACTGTGGTTAAGTGAGAGAATATCCTTGTTCTTAGAACATACTGGGGCACCTGGGTGGCTCAGTCAGTTGAGCATCTGACTTCAGCTCAGGTCATCATTTCATGGGTCAGGAGTTTGAGGCCTGAAGGGGGTTCGGTGCTATCAGTGCAGAATCTGCTTTAGATCTTCTGTCTCCCTCTCTCTGCCCTTCCCCTGCTCACTCTTCTCTCAAAATAAATAAATATTTTAATTTTTTTTAAAAAAAGAAAATACTGAAATATTTAGAATAATGGGGCATGATTAGATGGGGGGGATAGAGAGATGATAGATAGATAGATGATAGATAGATAGATAGATAGATAGATAGATAGATAGATAGATAGAGGTAGAGAGACAATAGGTAGACAGATAGATACCTCATCTCACTGAGAGAGGGAGAGAGAGAGAACCCTAGTAGTGTGCAGTGTTGGGGGAGAGAGACTAAAGCACAACTGGGAAAGTTTTTAATCAGTGAATCCAGGGGTGCCTGGGTGGCTTAGTTGGTTGAGCATCTGACTTCAGGTTCAAGTTCAGGTCATGACCTCACAGTTTGTGAGTTTGAGCCCCACACTGGCTCACTGCTGTCAGACTGTCAATGCAGAGCCTGATTCGGATCCTCTATCCCCCTCTCTCTGCCCCTCCCCATCTTGTGCTCTCTCAAAGGTAAATAACAAATATTTAATGATAATACAATAATAATAATCAGTGAATCCAAGAAAAGACATATGGGAGGTCTTTGCACCATTTTTGCAACTTTTCTGTAAGTCTGAAACTGTCCAAATAAATAGTTACTCCAGGAAAAGGACAAAACACAAATCAGAATGGAAGTTCTAGTATTTTCTTTCTTCCCCCAATGGACTGCTTCGTGCACCCGCTTTGATGACCACTGAACAAAACCAGGTATTGGAAAGGAAGGGCCTAGAAGGGACAAAAGGAAGGTAAGCTGGAACACTGATATGTATATACACAAAGGTCCTCTGAGTTCTTGTTGATCTTTGAGTCTCCCATGGTATTTAGAATATAAAGGCTCCCAATAAATACTTGCTGAATGAATAACTGAGGAGTAAGATGCCTCAGAGACAAATCACATGCATTTTAAAGATGAGGAAAAAGAAATGCAAAGGGCTTAACTCCATTGAAAAAATCCCACGACTAATAAGACTAAGCCAGAAATCAAACCTATCCTTATGATTAAATGCTTATGGCCCTTTGCCTCTAAGCATAGTTTAAGCAATACATGTCAATAATTAAATATTGGTAAAGCTCCTTAGGTAACTGTCCTAACGAAATTTATAGTAAAACTTAGAGAAGTAAAGAGGATGCATATCTCTCAAGCCCCCACCCATCAGATCGTCTATTCTCGTTCTTTTTTTCTTTTCAAATTAACTGTCTCACACAAGTAATTCAAATGGAAGTAGAGTTTTGCTCTCAAATCCTGGTCCGGGAACTGGCAGTACAAGGTATAACAATGGCTGCCGTCCTGGTTCCATATCTGACCTCATTTAAAACTCCTGAAGACCTCTGTTATTCATTCTGACTGATAGAAAAGATAAATTAGAAAATCACAGACTTTACAACTAAAAGGAATGATCATGACTGTCTAGTCCATTTTTCTTGCATTGGAGAAAGTCAATGATAATTTCTTCCTTACTGGAATCAGGAGGACTCAACTGATAGGTTTTTAAATTAGTTTGATGTATCTGATAAGCAACTATACATATATTCAATGAATACTATCAAAATGTCTGCTGTCTCCTGTCCAAGACCTATTTACTTAGACGTGTTTATGTTCATCCAATAGCAATTCATAATTAAACCTGGCACATTAAGCTATGGAGACAATCTTGTAAATAGATGATCTGAGGAACAAATCAATATCTATAATTGGCTAGAATGTGGTCTTGCCTTTGATTTTGAGTTGATCACTTCTATCATTCCCTCCAGTGTAATGTGATATGGGGGTAGAAGACCATCATTACAGGAATCCTATTGCTGAAGTCAAGAGTCTGTAATACTGTTTCCAACATAATGTACTTCAACAGTAAAAAGGCCATAACCTTGGGTCCATCATAGACTATCTGCCACTCCCATCATAAGCCATATGCCTGGAAAAGGTTTTATTTGCTACAACAAATAGGGTAAGAGAGAGTCCAAGTGAAGAGAACTTTGAAACTTCATAGAAACTAACTCCAAAATTAAGTGGATTCTTTATGTTGCAGGAGTTTAGAACATGAATTCATCATTAGGACAAACATTTCTCTAATTTGGGAAAGACCACTACCATGGTTTTTTAGATGTTCAGCATTAACTAAGACTTTCATTTGGAAAAGACAAAATCCTAGACAGTTCAGACATAAAGAGCTAAAGAGTTTTGGGTAATAATGTTATAAAATACTGGGGAGAATTTATTTTAAATAGTGATTTCGACCGCACTGTTGGTGGTTCTTAAAAGATGTGTGTTCTAGTACAAGCAATGACACACAGCAGAGAAGAAGTAGATGCCTCAAGATGGTAAAAAGTATGTGAAAGTCTACCTTCATTTTATGCAGGTGGGGTAATAATAAATGGTATTGAAATGGAATTGCAAAGTGCAGTCTAGACTGTGGCACTGAAGCCCTACAAATGAATAATGCATAAGGAATAAATGCATTATATCATTTGGGAGCCAAAGGACAACACTACCTTGCAGGAAGAATTGAGATTTGCTCTAGAATTTCTCTTGGCACAATTGATCTTTTCGGCTAGACAACTCTTTGCTATTGGTGGCTGCCCTATATCCACTGACATTGTAGAAGGGTCAGCAGCATCCTTGGCCTCTATTCACTAAATGCCAGTAGCATTTTCCCCCAACCCGTCATTATAATCAAAAATGTCTCTAGGTATTGTCAATATCTTGGGGGTTGGGGGCTGAGGAGTTGGCCCAGTTAAGAACCACTTATTCCAAAGGAAATGGAGATTTCCACTATCAATCATCCCACCAAGAGTTAATCGTGGAATAGGAATAGATGAAAGGCAAAATGTTTCCTCACTCTGCTCCCCCAAAGATTGGACCCTCTTTCCTTAGCCAGGGAGACCTACTTAAAGGCACTCTCACTGAGGAGTGGTAAATATTCTGTCCCTTTCAACATGGTTCCAGGCAGAGATTAGATGGAGAGATGTTGAGGAATGAGATTCCAGTTAGAAGACTGAACAGCATGTAATTAGGTGGCATAAAAGACCCAAATCATTATGACTGGGGCATTAACAGAAAGTGTAATCTCAAAGCCTGATGAAATTTGGAACATGGAGATTTCACACAAAGCTAAATCCTAAAATGAAAAACTCCCTCAGCTATACCTCTGGAGAAAAGTCAAGAGCCAAGACAGTTCTTTGGTTCCTCCACTCATCTGTTCAAGTATTTATTGAAATCCTATTGCAAACCAGGCGCTAACCTCGATTCTTGCCAGCCAAGTTGGTCTTAAGAAGCATATCTCCACTATTAGAAATT